GCCCAGACAGACGTGCACCGACAGATCGCCATCGTGTTTAAGACTCCGCCCTACGAGGACCAAGACATCACAGAGGAAGTGGAAGTCAACCTGGCCCTGCGTCGCATCTCAGACTAGATGGAGAGTGAGCCCGTTACATTTAAGTACCTGCCTCGCAATCCAGGTCAGTCAGTACTGGACTTCCCTAACATCCTCTTCTGCCACACCAACCCTCTGCATGTCCTCCTTCACTACATCCATGAGCCTCCACTATCTCTACTCCCTGTAGATTCACTTTTCCGCCGGTCTCCTTCCTTCTTCTGGTCATAAGGTCCACTGTCTTCTCTCCTATACATTTCTACACTTCCACACTTATGTCATCAGGACCAGCCACCTTTCTGTTCTTCCTCCTCTTCATAGCTGTCCTCACTTCCTCCTCACTGCACTTTCTCATTCATTAACTGTCCTCTGTCTTATTTTCTCTCAAAGTACTCCTTCCACCTTCTCTGCACACTCTCCTTACTTGTTAGTACATTTCCATCCTGCTGCAAATCCTTTTCCAGCTCGATCACTCGATCTAACCAATCAAAACAAACCTTTATCTCCTTTCTTAGTGTCCAGCCTCACATACAACTCACTGTAAGCCTCTTTGAATACTTTCCTGTACGTCCTCATTCCACCATTACGTCACCGGCCACCACCATCTTTCCTTCCGCATTCCTACTCAACACCTCCTCATCACCTCTCTTCCCTTCATCTACATGTCCATTGAAGTCTGTCCTACTCTTTTCCCCCCTTGGGGACACTCTCTGCCACTTGATCCAACTTGCTCCAGAACTCCCCTCTCTTTTCTAAATGACATCCAACCTGTGGGGCATACGCACAGATAACAATGAAAACCACCCCTCTGATTTCCACCTTCACACCCATGATCCTGTCTGACACTCTTTGCGCGTCCACAGCACTATGTACACCACAATAGAACATTTTGAATCCACCTCCAGCGCTCCTGGCCTTTCCACGTGGTCTCCTGCACACGCAATACAGCCACCTTCTTTCTCTCCATCATGTCAGCCAGTTCTCTCTCCTCTTTACCAGTCATAGTGCTCACAAATTAAAAAAAAAAAACCAGATGCAGCAGATTATTGCTAAACATTGACATTTCTCATTTCAGACCCGTACGAGGTGAAGCGGAAGACAAGGCTAAAGTCAGAGGTGAACCTCAAGGAGAAGCCCTGTGTGACAGGTGAGGTTCAGACTATCAGTTTAATCTTTGTGTTTTTACAATTCAGCATGTGAACTGTTTGACTGGGGCGTGCCACCTCTCTGGCTCCGTGTTTACATATTTTCACTCAAAATATTGTGACTTAATACAACAGGAAAAGCACAGCAAACCAACATTTTAAATCTAAACTTTTTGGATTTCATCATGCAAAAGGCATAAACTGCCTTTAGGTGAATACAATTATTTTTATTTTAACTTGACACTCAGTCCAGATTAAAGCTATTCACAATCATGTTCAAACTGCTTGTTAAATGATAGCCAGTCTTCTCAAAATCCAGGTTTAAACTGTAGTCTATCTGCCTGACTTCAAGAACTGCAAAGCCCCTTTTCCACTGATGCAGGACCTGTCCATAATCTAGAACCTGTTCCACATATTTCTCCTGAAAAAGGGCTGGTGGCATTGTGGCCCAGGATGGTGCCACAGAATTGCTGACACCAAAACTGAAACAAAATTAAGTGTCTAGGAGTTTCACCCATGACTAGCAGATGCATTTTCTTTTTCTTTTTTTTTTGCATGGAAATTACTCCAACACCTGCTAGTAGCTTTTCTTTCCTCAGAAAGCCCCCCACACCAGCTCCACACCAGCACTGCATTGGTGGAAACGAGGTGCAAGTGAGCCATTCATTTATTTTCCTGTGAAAAAGGGCGTCTTGGTCACGCTCACTTGGGTTAATTACAGAAACCTCAGTGGGACAGTTGAGTTGGTGTTTGTGCCATTAACCACACCTACTAAGAGTCAACACGTCTGCTGTGAAGATGCACTATTAGACACATGGCAGCTTCAGTAATTGGGACGAATCACAATGCCCTTCAAAAAATCACACTTAATCATTTTCTGTCTACTCATCACTGCATGATGAAGAACAGATCACATGCTAACATGACATTTGCCAAAAATGCCAAAATCGACCTCTGGAATACACAGACATTACAAAAGAGGAAGTGGTCAGCCACAAATACTCCTTATGTGACATGTCATTTATATGACTGATTATCACATGAAGATAGAGTTTTATGTGTCATACATATATAGATACACCAAACAAGATAAAGATGGTGTGTAATAAAAGCACAAAGGGGTTAAAAGCAACAGGGTAAACTGTACAAAAGGTTAAAACTAAAGAGCAGCAAGTTCCACCTTCATGAAGGCTAGTTTTTGTTGATGTTGACTCAGCTGTGGGGTTGTTTTGGAGGTTTTTCACACAGTTATTTCCATTTCATAGCCTGGTCTGACTGATATAAACAAGGCAAAACAGTCCTTGTGGCATAAAGTACTACAGATTAACAATGAGACAAACACCTTTCAAAATGATCACACAGCTGGCTCTGCACTTCTCCTCAAAGGTTTCCCGTAATCTCAGTGAAGACCTTTTTCAAGACTGGCAGCTGTGTGTGTGTGCTTTTTAAAAAAGGTCGAGAATCACATGTCACAATCCAGGTACAAAGTCCTCCGTCTAATAACTGACCATTCATCATGTTTCTAACAGCTTTGTTTTCTCTGTAACGTAATCTGTTTCAGCCAAGTGCGCACCTGCGTCAGATCAGGTCATCCAGTTCCTCCCAGAGGCCCAAAACATGATGTCGCCACAAGAGCGGTCGCACCCTGTCCTGCCCGGCATACCCGCTGCAGCGGAACCGCGTTACTGCAATCCAATCGATTCAAACACCGACGAGGCGGCCCTTTACAACCAGTTGGTAGACATGCCTGAATTTTGGGAGGTCTTCAATAACCCAAACTTCTCCTCACTCGTGCCTGGCAACTTGGACATCACTGCCTCCGCCTTTGCTAATGTGGATATGAACTTCAACCAGAACTCCGGCTTCCTGCAGGACTTTTCCCATTACAGTGACTTGCAATTCAACATGCTCGTCAGCGAGAGCCAGAACCCGCAGTTGGAGCCGCAGGATAGCACGGTTCAGGTGAAAACGGAAGAGGAACTTTGAGGATCGTGTAGCACCGTTTACAGCTGTTTCTGTCATCTTTTAACATTTTGGTCACTTCCTTGCTGACAGTTTTATGTCACTGCCATGTGAGCACATTAAGCTAGTTTTCCGCTTCCCCTTGTTTCTAGAACTTGTGCTAAGCTAACCAAGCTATCGCCTGCTTTGTTTTTAGTATGAGACTGGTACTGATTAGCGCAGCAGAAAACTGAAACCATCCCTCAAAAGTGGATACAAGTGCCAAAATGCATATGCTTGTCTCTCTGGAGTCAAGTTTGAAAAATCCCATCAGCCACTTGAACTTTCATCACAGAATATCATCCATTTAATACATTTCAGAGGTTTTCTCTTGATTTTTAATGGATTTGACTTTAAATCAAAGGTATAACTCCTACCTAAGCAAAATAACACGTTACATGCTGCTCCGATGGTCTGATGACAGTTAAGGCTGCGCATAGCTCTGCAGGCCGAGAGATTCCACTTTAACCCCTTTGATGGCACTGGTTCAGAGCTCCTTTATCCTTGGCTCAGTGCTCTCATGCTGGCACACGTATCCAGTTCATCCCAGACAATGGGTGGGAGGTGGGGCTCCCCATTTACCGTCACACCACTTTAGAATCACCGGAGACCCACGCACAACTGCGCTGCTAAGCTGTTTGTTTTATTGGCTTACTCATGTAGCAAATCTAAACACAACAAGTTAGTCAGTACTGAACACTTAGCTAAGTTTCACACCAGTGATCATCAGTGTCTGATCTTCTGTGACAACTTACAATCAGTTTTGGTTTTTTTTCCATCTGAATGTTTTCTGTCTGAGCTGGCACTCAAAGCAGTTTTTTCACTGTAAGCCACACACACAGACGTCAGATTCTATTAAAAGTGGTCCAAAGAAGGAACAATGGTGATGCTGTGGCCTCTTTCAGCAGGATAATACACCTTGCCACAAGTAAAACAAGGAACATTTTAAGCCATTGACGTGGCCTCCAGATTTCCCAGATCTCAGTCTAATCGAGGATATGTGGGACCTGCTGGAAGTCTGCGCCTCGATGGGTCAGGGCTATTTTGGCAGCAAAAGGGGAACCAACACAGCATTAGGCAGGTGGTCATAATATTGGGCCTGATCAGCAAGCTGTTTGTTCAGCTTTTTCAGTTCGTTCACTTCTCATTAGCACACAGGGACCTCCCACCACCAGTCCCCTATAAGGGCCTTCCCCAAAACGCAGCCTCAGTTCATGCTTATGTCGTCTGTCGTTATCAACTTGAAATGCTGTCAAATGTAAATGAGAAACTAGTGAATATAAAAATAACAAACGCTTCGGCTATCTTGAATCATAGAAGAATATACGTGGCATTTTTGGTGCTTGCATCCACTTGTGAACAATCTTCCTGTAGTGAGTTATCTGCTGCACTTGCTCTGCTAGACTGCAAAACCATTATGGAGCAGAGCACCTTCTTTCCTGCTGCTGCTGCTGCTGCTGCTTTGCACTTTGTTGCCCTGTATTTAACCCCGTACCTTTATTTTTCTTTTGCTCCCGAAGCCTTGCTGGCCAAGTCTTCGGGAGCAAGTTAGCATTCCTTATTTTCCATAAGTGCTGCAAGCATTAATTTAAAGCCTACATTCAGTGTGGAGTTTAAAAGGAGAACTCAAACTTCTCCACAAAAGCTGTAAACTTCCATAATTGCAGTCTGTTTTAATTGCAAGGTGAGACTAAAATGGCACGTATTAAATGTTTGTGCAAGATTTGTTTTGTTTGCTGCCGGCAGCATAAAAGGGTTTGGGTTTTTTGTTGGGTTTTTTTTTTTTGTTTTTTTTAATCACCAAAAGTCTCAAGTACAGTAGTTTGGGATCAATTCTTCTTTGTCCCTGTCTGTTATTGCTCTCTGTTGGCTGCCACAGCCGCTGGCTTGTTTAATATTTAATCAACATAAATGTAATAGAAAACAGCCCTTTTCCTATTTCTGCCTTTCTTTGTGTCCGTTCCTCTTGTTTGTCAGTTTCGCTCTCGTGCTAAGCATTCAAATTTCCAATCGCACCTTATCACATGTCTGCCCACAGTGTAGTGCAGTAGTCGGAGAAAAATAAAATGTCTGTGTGTAACTTTTGTTGTGTCATTACTTCCTGTTGAGGCAGAGTGAGAGGCAGAAATAAAAGATTAGAGTGTGTTAAAGGGGATGTAGGCGCTGCAATTCAGCTGCCGCCCACACACATTCCTGAGCTGCTCTCTCACTTATAAAAACAATGATTCTTGGCAGCTTCGACATCTCCGAGATGCTTTTCGGCTTGTCACGTCGTAGTTTTAAATATCTTCAATGCTTCAAGAGAACCTTGAAGTACTTGTTTGTCCAACCCATTAGACAGAAACCCAGAGGATATAAATCACCCTATTGTTTATGGCTGTGAGACACCTTGAGGTCGCTTTAGTCACAGCCTCTCAAAAGAAACAATAGTTCTTTTTTTTTTTTCTTTCTTTTCTGCCTAAAACATGACTATCACTTCTTACAGTAATCCAGTCTGGGAACGTGCCCTATTTGTGCTTTCCTCTTTAGTTTTTGTGGACTCTGGTGAAACACCCAGTCTTTTGTAACTCTGTTGCTTTTGGGGAAACTTGGCAATTGAGACACACAGGGATGTTAACCTTACTCACGCAGCAGATTAATACATCTGCTGCATGATGACAGTGAGCGGAGATATACTTAACATGGTCACAGAGGCCGAGGGGCTTCACAAAGATCCAGTATACGATAAATAAGGAATTATTGATTTTGAGCTGTCATGCAAACAAACTCGGGTAGAGTCCAAGAATAAAAACGTGGAGCATAAGTATAACAGAGAACTAAGGCTTTACATTTTGGGACATAATAACAATAATCTTGACCTTACCACGTCATAAAACAAGGGTAATACACCGAAAAATGATTGACACAGCATTAAGTATTACACAGGTTCATTACTTAACAAAAGCCAAGATGCCAAAGCAGTGCGAGGAAAAACTAAATACACCCTTACTGCTTCCATAGGGATTAAAAGGAAAGGATTCGCCAAGTGCTCCTAATAAAATAAACTCAATTAATTGTGAGGACCTCTATGAACCTCTATGTCAGTTTGCTGGTCTGGAGCATTCAGATGTGTGTTAATACACGACTGAGAGGAGGATAGACATCAGCAATGATCTTAGAGAAGCAACTGTTGCTTCCCATCAGTTTGGGGATGGTTGTAAGGCCATTTCTAAATAATCTGAAGTCCTTCATTCAGTCCCCCAAAGTCAGACTGTGCAGAAAAACTGCAAAAAATGCAGAAGGGTTAAATCTCAGACTCTCTGTCAGTATGTTTAGGTCACGTTTAAGCCTTAGGTCACGAACAGTGGTCCAAAATTATTTATTTATTTAAAGTTATTGCATAAAAGCGGATCTCCAGGCTTTAAATCATGGGGTGTACTCAGTTCTTCTCACACTGCCTCTGCATTTGGTCAAATAAGTAATGGTGCAGTGTAACTCATTCATCGGAGGTTGTATTTGCCTAATTTTAAGACTTATTAAGCACCAGCAATTTTTATTAACGTCCCAGTAGAACTGACAGCAGGTGTCCTTTTTAAAAAAAAAAAAAATTACTAATGTTTTCTTAAATCAAGCCTAGAAGGCTTTTTCAGCAGTAGCATTTAATACGAATATTTAGTTTTCATCCCTTTATAAAGTGGTTCCCATTGTTGGTTTCAGTGTCTGCCCTTTTTAAATGATCATGACACAAGTTATTAACACATTTTTATACACTTGTGTTTGCTGAGTGGTAAAGAGATCGTTGTAGCTGTGCTTTAAAATCCGTATTTGACTGTGTGCATCCGTTTTCTTCAGGTTAATTAAAGCAGAAGTTAACGTTTGTTGGCCCCATCCATCACCCTGGAGCATACTCCAGTTACAGCCTCTGGGAAACTCCACACTGAGCTCATCTCTAAGACCTTTGATCCTATGTAAACAGAGAGAGATGCACTTTATTTCCTGTGAAAGGGTGCTGTATAACCAGCTGCTAAGACGTGTCTAGATTTGTCCACTGGATCCGTTTGCCTTAGACAGTAAGGGCTTTTTAAGATTTTCATCTTGTATGAAGGAAAAGCTTTTTTGCTTAAACCCAGGATTGATCAGGCAGCTTCCTTTGGAGGATGAATTCAATTTTAATCAGTTCATCTTTGGATGATTTTGTCTAATAATCACATAATTGTTTGTTTTAATGTCTGAATTCACACAGCCGAGAATTATAATCTCAAATCTGAGAAGCAGAAACCACTTAACACCTGGTACCTTATCGCTTACTCCTAAAAAACCAAACATGTCCTTATCATCGGAGGTTCTTCTGGTGAATGGCCCCTTTTTAAGCCACCAGTAACTCTCAAGAAAAAAAAAGTGCTGATCTTAATTTTCCCTTTTTTCCTCGGCCTAATAAACCACCAGTTTCTGTCTCTGGCTTCAAACAGAAATGGTCTGAACTTTACATTTCTGAGACATGCAGATATCTCAGTATGTCTGTGGAGTATCTGACGAGTGCTGAGCCGAGAGAGTGAGTCATGTGTTGTGGAAAGACGAAAAAGAGGTACTGCAATTAGATGTACACAACTGATGCAATGCGTTCCTGTAAGTGAAAAATCTGTTCAGTTTTATTTATATAAAGCCAAATCACAGGAATGAGTTTCTCAGTGTGCTTTTCACAATATTAGAGAGAAAACTCAACAATCAGACCTGTGAGCAAGTGTTTGATGACAGAAGTCTGGGGGAGAACTCATTTTTAGATCAAGGTCAAGTTTACTTGTGTAGCGCATTTCAAACGACACGGGTTGGCCATAATGTTTCACAGACAGCCAATAATAGAATGACAAAAAACAAAACCAATTACCTGATGTCAAGGTATAGCTCAACTTAAAGGCCAGAGATTAGAAATGAGTCTTGTGCAAAGAGTTAAAAAACAGTTCTAACATGAAATGGTGAGACAATCAGAGACAAAAAGCTCAGTCACTTCTATTATATCTGTGCCTAAATACAGAAAGTCAATCATATTCAGCGATTTCTAATCATTATTGGCAAAATAACTCTTTAAACTTCAAGATGGGCGACTGAAGCTGATTGACATGGTGCTAAAAACATTACAGCAGGGGTGTCTAACTTAAGGCTCCCACTTTTGGGGTACCTGTGCTGCCTGGGGGTGGTGCCTGGATGTGATGTGACTTGTGTTGGACCTCTGACAGAGACTTTCTTGCATGTTTCTCACACAACAAGCAGGTGTTCACAGCTTCTTTGTCTTCGCTATTGGCATTCTTTTAGTGACTTTCAGCATCTGTATAAAATCGGCTCCTCTCAGAGTCACAGTCTGTCATTTTTGTCACTCAGCATATTTTAAATGCTCTAGATGCTTCTGTGAGGGGGAGGGTTTCGTCTTGTCAGCAGAGATTTCTTAAATTCTGAGTGGGTGGCACCTGTGTATTTGTCTGATCTCACTCATGTTCACACTCCTATCTACTGATCAGATCAGATCCTCTATATTCCAAAAGCTAGACTTATAGAGACACATCACTTCCTGTGTGGAAACCTTACGGGCAGCAGGGGTCGACTCCTCGGCTGTAGAAACAAGTCAGACTGTAAAGACATCTATGAGAAAATGACCAAACTATGACATCAATCAGCAGCTTCAACTCTTATTAAATACAACACTGTTTTTTCATGGTTAAATTTGGAGTAAAATACCATGGAGCAGTTTATAGCACATCTGGCTAATTTTATCTGGGTTGTTCCACCCTCTAAGGTTAAGGTCACCAAACCTGAAAATCTTAGGAAATGAAAGCACTTAGTCAACAAAAACAGAGCTAAATTACTTCCTTAAAAACAACCGTCAGATTTCCCTTTCACAAAAAGCATCTGCATTTGGAATAAAATACAAATACAGTGCTGAATACTCAGTTTACTGCACTACAGATAGCAAATCCGGTCAAAGTTGATGACCCCAACTCGTATTCATTCTTTTAGACGTGAGAATAAAACACTTTCTGGGGGAAAATGTAGTTTTGATGCCTCACAGTAAGAATTATTATGATCACTATTTTGTCCAGTGATTACCAGGACTTGGGAGAACATAATATATCATGCAGTTATGGTGAGGACTTAAGGCTTAGACATCACAGGTTTAATCACGGATGATGCTGCCCCATGTATGTGAAGGAAATACTGGTCACACCAATTTAATTAATCAAGAACCGGCCATGAGTTTGATCCAGATCCAGCTGGTGATGGGGAGTTTTATGGTCAAACATCCATAACTTCAATGTCTGGTTTAGCTTAAAGTGAGTGAAGGTGAATGTGACGGATGCTCCTGTGTGGCAGCCTACCAAAAAAGGAAAAAACACCGAATATGGCACTTTATGCCTCACTTTCAGACCTTGTTTTGTCACTTTGCCTCTCCTGAATATGCATCAGGGGGTAATTCCAGGCAGATGCTGCATAAGCACCAAACATTTCTGTTTACAACATCTCTGTTGCCTGGTTACAACACCCACGGGAGTCCCCACACTAGTAGGGACTCGCCACCTTTCCCACAACAGCACATTTCAACCACAAAGCTACACAAAGCTACTGAAAGCGAAACCAGGCGAGAAACGGCTGCTAATGTTTTCAAAACTCTGACATCTTTTTTTCCACAGGTCATCTCGAGCTCCATATAAGGACCTTTGCTCCCCCCTGATGCTTTGACAGAGAGACGTGTTTGTTGCATCACTTGTTTTGATAGTAGCACTTGTCAAAGTCTTCAAGAATAAAACCCCGAGAAATAAACAGTTTTTTTTAACAGACTGTCAGACTGTTAAGATTTGACACGTTTAGGAGCTTTTTAATCATTTCCATCCTTTTTTAAAAGGATGGAAATGATTAAATTAATTGTAAGGGGATTATAATAAAGAAACAATTGGCTCCGTATGTCCTAACGTCAAGTAATTTGAGTCACTTTGGCGCCATCTAGTGGAACATGTCTACATTTTGAGAAAAGTGTTTGTCTCCCATTCAAATTGTTTCTGTAGAGGCTTCAGATGAAATACAAAACACTTTCAGTGAATGAAA